TTCAAATCCCGCCAAACGCCTAGAGTTTTTCACACTTGAGTCAACTCAAATTTGGGGATGTCATTGGTGTAGTTTTAAAGTATAGATTTTAAATAATTCTAAAGGCATTCTTTATGTCGGTATTTATATACCCCCCTCTACATGATAAGGTGCTTTAATCCGCTTTTTGCAACTCGTCCTCATAATATTTGCTTGCTTCGGACTGACAAATATGAAAAGCGTAGTGCCCATCTTAAACACTCGAAAGTCGGGTCAGGCTTCAGTTAACTTATTCATTTTTTAAACGAAATATTTACTTTATACTGTCCTCTTAAAACTGTTATGGTTTACTCTGACAGAAATTCTCCTCCCCATCTAAAAACTTCGATATGTCAAAAGGAAATGTTCTACAAACTAGGTCTACGTGAAAGACTAAAGGATGTAAACTTCCTAATAAAACGTGACATTTGCAGACCGAACGACCTTTTTGTTAGTCAGCTATTTATTTCTTCTACATCTTCGTGTCTTTATCTCGAATAAAATTTGGAAGCGTCTCACTGGCCAACGCAATACGCTAGCACATATCGATGCTGACTAAGACATGGACCGTTTTAATGCAAACTTCTTCAACACTCCCACCGACTCCTCTCTTCCAACAAACGTTTTTCCCTTATTACAAAGTGTCTTTGTTCCAAGGGTCTATATTATCTCATCACCCGTTCTACCTCTTCATTGACGACCTTCTATCACCAAAGGAATGTTTTCTTGTTTGTTATGCTGATGCTATGGTTGTTGGCCATCCTTTGAAAACTAAGATACATCTCCAAGTACTGAAGAATGGCCTCAATCACGTCTCAGTATGGTCGTCAGCCAATGGGTTTCTACTTAACAACCAGAAGTCAGTCTAGTGTGTCTTTCGACTGCCGCCCTCTCTCAGTCCTGGAACTATTGCAATTCTACCAAACGAGGTATCCTCTTACATAGTCATTTGGCTACTCTGGCATATAAATTCTTGCTACTC